CCCGCTGGGTTCACGGGCCCGCTCCGCCCAGGCGGGGAGGGACGGTTCCACCTTGCACGATCGGGAGTCTCCGAGACGCCGGCTCGGTCAACATCGGCCGTCGGCGGTGGACAAACCTCCCTTTAGTAGACCTCCCCTTAGTGAAAACGGCCTGGGACCGAAACCGACGGACCTGGGCCCGCAAAAATGACGGCCGCGACGCCCTCTCGCGAACCGAAAACGGCCAATTCCTTCATCGACGTGTCAGGGTAGGAGGTCTGTCCACCCCCGAGGCCGATTCTGGGTTGCCGGCGGCATTCCAAGCTGAACGCCGGCGGCGGCGGGGTCGCCGGTCGACGGTCGACGGGAACCTGCCGTACGCCTCCCTTTCTGGGGCCGACCATCGAATCGGGAAGACGTGAGACTCGGGTTTTGGGGGACTCGGGCCGCCCTGGCGGGGCCATCATGAAAAGGACGAGGCCCAGCCTGAAATTTGACGCGAGCTCCCGCTGCAGACATCCCACGAGAACTGGGCCCTCAAAACCCAAGACGCGCTCGTCAAAAGGCGCCAGCAAACCCGAAGGCCATCGTACTCGAATCTTACGTTTCCCCGAACATGGGGGGGAACATCGACCTGGAATCGGCGATACGTCGCCGATACCAGCGACAGGCCCCCGCCAGCGAAGCTGCACAGTCCTTGGATGGGGACCATCGGACCCCTGTCGGCGATCAGTGGTCGCGATGCATCCCCCACTGACCACCCCCAACGTTGCCCCCTAACTTCCAGACCACAATTCGGCTCTCCGGCGGCCGTTCGGGACGATCCCGGCATCCCCGGAACGCCCTCGGCGAGGCGCAGCTGCTGGAGAACTTTCCGAGGCTGGAAAGCCTCTGAGAACCGACGAACAGATCCGCAAACCTCAAGTCTCGTCTCGAGCCTTCCCTGGATTTCCAGGGAGGCTCCCCACGGCCTCCAGAGAGCCCCTCACGCGGCCCAGAGGGCCCCGGGGGCTCCAAACTGAAGCGGAAAGCTGGGGGGGGCCTTGGGCCAGGGGCACCTTGCTTAAGCAACCCCCGGCCCCTGGCGTTGCCCCTGCGAGCGCGGGGGCTCGGCCCTTAGCTTTGACTCCAGCGTTGCCCCCAGCCCTGACCCTTGAGCCCATCCGCCCTGGCGTTGCCCCTGGCCTCTGACTACACAGACCACCCCGCCCCAACGCGAAGACCCAAATGTCGGCTTGGGGGGCGCGGGCTCCATACATGTTTTTCCAACGCTCTCTCCGGCGACCCCCCCCTCCCCATTCCCCCACTGGAAATGGAGGGCAAATGGGGGCCCTCGCGTTGGGTTGGGGTGGCCTGGTGGGTGGTGAGACCTCCTCCTCATTCTGAATCGGGAGCGGCCAAGAGGGGGGTGTCCAAGAGGGGGGGGTGCAAATCATGACCGGCGGCATGTGCGCGGCCCAGCGGGGGGGCCAGGGACGTAATGAAATAAGAAGAGCCTCCATGAAATCTGGGGAAATATCATGGCCCCCGCCATGATATCCCCCCCCCCTAGTCATCACCCCCCTCTTTGCCGCCCCCGACCTCATCCTCGAGCTGCCGGCGGCCCGGGCCTGAGCAGCTCCGCGCGCTCCCGCCCCTGGGTCGGCACGCCGACCTGGGGCATCCGCGGGGCCCGACCGAGAAGGGGTTCGGGGGGCGGCTCCCTCGCCCCCCCGCCTCCCCCCCCCTCCCCCAGGCAGGGAGGGGGGAGAGAGAGGGGGAGGTAGCGAGGGGGAGCGAGGAGGAGAGGCTGGGGGAGCGAGGAAGAGTGGGATGCGGGAGAGGGGGGCGGGGTGAGGGGAGAAGATGGTGGAGGAGGGGGGAGGAGGGAGGAGTGAGGCAGCGAGGCGGAGGCTTCCCCTCCCCCCACCACCCCAGGCAAGCACATTTGAACCCTACCCTTGCGGGTCAACTGTCTGGCAAAGCGGCGGGGACCAGAACTCGAAGGCCGTCTGCAGCCGGGTGAGCCCCAGCGGGGGTCTTTGATACCCCAGCGTCGATTAGAGCCGCAGCGGCGGTAGAGGAACAACCAGCGGCGTAAAAGCAAACTTTCTCGGAACATGGCGCGGATGTCTAGGACTCGCGCTGGCCACCCCTCGCCGGCCGCAAGTGGTCGCAACGCCCAAGCGCGAGTGGAGGAGGAGCGGCCGTGGCTCCATCGCAGCGGGTCCGCCACGCGTCGCGCGCACCGTAGCCAGGCCCTCGAGGCCTGGCGAGGCATCTGGGAGGCAGGGGGGGAAGAGCTGCGCGGGCCACAGGTGTGGCTCAGTCGCAGCGGGTTCGCCACGCGTCGCGCGCACCGAAGCACGGCCCTCGAGGCCTGGCGAGGCATCTGGGAGGCAGGGGGGGAAGAGCTGCGCGGGCCACAGGTGATCGACATTGGCGATTCTCGACAGGGGTTACCAGCCTCGAACGTATCCCTATCCCTGAGATCGGCACGCCAAAAGGCGATGACAACCTTAGGGATTCGCCCTCGAAAAATAACGGAATCCCTAAGATTGGCATCGTGATGAGGAGGTGCCCAGCATAGGGATAGGGATATGTTCCAGCCTGGTAAAGGGAGCAGTCAGATCGAGGGGTGGCGACACCAGACGGCCCGAGCGCACTGGAGCAAGGCACTGCGAGTCGAGCGACGCATGCAGGGACGAGGGGGGGCGGGCCGTGTGGGCCGCGGCTGATCGGCGTGACACTATTTCCGAAGCGAGTAGAATAACCCTCATCATGAGCACCCCGGCACACGAAACAATTAAGCATACGCGCCTACGGACGGAATCGAACAAAGCAGGGCTTCCCAGCAAACGGCCACCGCTGCTGCTGGGCAAACGCAAATCAGAGGGGTCGGGGTGGTTCCGCCTCCCTCGAAGGAGAGAGCTCTGACCATATCGAGCAGGCGACAGGAGCCCGACCGCGCTTCAGAAAAAAAACATCCAAACTTTCCCCGCGCACCGTCTCGTGGGCTCCTCAGAGGGTGCCCCACTTCTAACCAGCCTCGAACTTATCCGTACCCCTAAAGTCGTCACGCCCATGGCGATGAACATATTACGGATGTGCCCTCAGAAACTCAGGGAATACTGAAGATCAACAACTATGTAAGGTGATGCAAACCATGAGTGTAGGTGTGTGTCTATATATATATATATATATATATAGCAAGCTGGTAAGCTTAGGCCGCCCCGCCTGAGCCGATCGTCGGACCAAGCTCGACGCGCGCATCCGCTGCGCTGGGCCCAAGGCTTTGCCCTGACGTTGCATCTTCGGGAGACAACGTCTGCCCCATCGCGCCACTAAGCGTTTCGAATCCGTGTCGAGCCCGTGTCTAACGTCAAATCCGCGTCGAATCCACATCGAATCCATGTCGGATCAGCGTCGAACCCATCTCGGATCCGAATCGGGTACGAACAAGTATATGGCAGCTTGCAGGGCAGACGAGGTCCCCCGGAGATGCATCGTGACTGCCCCTCCTCCCCGGTTGGTCGCCTCCAAGAGCCCTGCAGCCCACACGTGTTGATACCTCACTTCTGCTTCAACCACCTTCCGCCGACCTTCAGTCGTCGGACCCGCCGCCGACTTTACTTCCGCCAGCCTCCGCCGAAGACGAGAAGGTGCCGAACGGGAGTCCCTTTCCAGAGCGCCCCCCGTGTACTTTCCTAGGCGCCTGTGTTCAAGGGAGGCTGCAGCACGGCTCAACGAAGTCCTGAGGCTGTCTGCCAAACCTGCAGGGTGGGCCCTTTCCATGTTCTTGTGCACTTCAGCTTTGGCTTCGGCTTCAGCTGTGGGTGCACCATGCAGCGCCTTCGGGCCAGCTCACCCGAGTCGGATTTTCCGCTCGCACGGATGCTCCCCTCCCCCCCTTCTCCCACAGAGCTTGACGCCACGGCGCGCGCCTCCACGCACACCAGCACCAGGCCGGAGAAAGGCGATCATTGAACAGCTACTTCGATAGGGACGACCAAAGCAGACTCCGAAGGTGCAGGAGCAGGAGCAGGAGCAGGAGCAGGAGGAGGAGGAGGAGGAGCAGGAGCAGGAGGAGGAGCAGGAGCAGGAGGAGGAGGCAGCGAGGCAGGAAGAGGAGAGGAGGGGAGGAGGAGGGGGGGGAGGAGGAGGAGGAGGAGAGAGGAGGGAGAGGATGGGAGAGGAGGAGGAGGAGGAGGAGGAGGAGCAGGAGCAGGAGCAGGAGGAGGAGGGGAGCGGGGAGCGGCAGGGTCAGCAATCGCCTCGCCTATCTGCTCTGCGGGCCCCTCCCTCGACCCGGGGCCCCTCGATCTGACCCCCTCCTCGAGGCGTTCGCGGCCCCTCCTCCTCCTGCTCCTGCTCCTGCTCCTCCTCCTGCTCCTGCTCCTCCTCCTCCTCCTCCTCCTCCTCCTCCTCCTGCTCCTCCATCGACCAAGCTGTTCCCTTCCCCTGTCCGACCTGTGCTCCTCATCTTCCGCCTCCAGCGCACCCTCTGGGGCCAACCACCGAGGACGAGGCAGGCCGTCGAAGGGGCTACAAGCCACCACAGAGACACCTTCAGGGCGGCGGGCACATAGCGGTCGCCGAGGGGGCTGGAGCCGAGAAAGGCCTGGTCGGTGGAGACCCGCACTCGCCATGGCTGGATCCTCCATCACACCTCGAACTTCGATTCCCAGGGAGACCCCAACACCCCATAGGAGGGAGGGAGGCAGGGAGGGAGGGGGGCTCAGAGGCTCGATCGAGAATCGATCGAGGATCGAGGATCAATACTTGTAAAGAGCTTATAGCCACACAGCTGCAGCGGCTGACCCCCAGCTGCTCCTCCGACCCCGCCCGCCCCGATCGGCAGGAAGTCCAGCAGGGAGCAAGGAGTGCACGAGGCCTTCGTTCGGGGCGCTGCAGAAGCCTTTTTGGGGTCTACGCTGGTGGATGGAAATCGGCATCAGAAGCTGCCGCAATCGCTGCATCGACAAGTGCGCCGACAACATCAGCACGCGCGCGCTGGATACTTCAGTGCGGTGCCTCCCGCA